TAACCTGTCGGTAGACTGTCGGCCGCCTGTCGGTCAACTGTCGGCCGACAGTCGGCCGACAGTCGGCCGACAGGTTTTTTGGGGAGCTCTTCTTCACAGTGCCCAGTCCAATACTGAGAGAATATTGACCAGCAATAGAGCATTTTGATTGGTTGATTTTAGTTATTGGCCCTCTGACTACCCAAGTCGTGTAATAAAGAAAAATATCAATTAGGGAGGTATTAGTTGATCCAATACAAGGCTGTTCTCTAACAGCACCCGGTGCCCCCTGGCGCCTTACTTTTGCTCTTAGCTTGGGAAACTCGGAAATTTTAGTTTTTTCATACAAAGCATATGCTGGGCACCCTGGATTTCAAAGTTTCAGAGCACTGGGCTCCATTCAATTTTCCTTAGAGCACAGCCTTGCAATACCAAATTATTTAAACTAACATCATAAAAATTTTATGGCAGACAGGAAGGAGAAATTACTGGCATCTTAAGAGTGAAATAGTTAAGTATTGATTCATCCTTTTTGCTCTTGTCTATTATGAAGTCTCAAGGTGAGAACTTACCACACACCATCCAGAAATATCTGCAACTTCTTCAATCACGAACAGAGAATGCTGAAGAGGAAGTGAAGGAATGTGGGATAATCTTGGAAAAATTACCCCCTGGTATGTTAGAATCTGCTGTTTTCTGTATTCTTTTTGTTAAATGATATATGTTCACACAGACTAATGACTGATTAAATTTAGTCAAGCATGCTTGTCCTTGGTGTTTACATACTTTCTGAGTTTGTATTTTGAGAACCCTCACATTCAGTAAATGGTGAATTGCACATAGGATGGGGTAGTTGTGAAACAGTTAGACAAAAATCAAACCTTGTCATGTGTTGTATTTTATGTGAATAGAAGTACATATTTATGTTGTGTGCTGTCTCTCCACAGGGATATCAGTGAAAGAAGATGAAGCTTTGCTCTCACAGAAAATAAAGGAAGAACTTGGAGATGATTATACTGAAAATCCTCTTGTTATTAGAGATAGGGTTAGCAGATTGATTCTATTTTTGTTTGGTACTGCACTTTTCTCTTCTTGATTGCAAATACCCTTTTGGTACATGTAAAGCTTGCAAAACACCTGGCGATTTTATTTGTAAATTGTGCCTGGTGTAGAGATTGTGATTTTTACTGATTCCAGCAATTGGCATAGAAAATTACCTATATGCCTGACACACTAGCCATCACTGATTTTGTATGCCAATCACAGTGATCAAATTTGCCATGATTGGTAATTAAAATCGCCAGGTGTGTCACTGGCATTAAAGCAGCCATAGGTATTCATTACTTCCTTCACCCTTTAACTCCACAAGTGACCAAGACATAATTTTTCCTTACAATAACAGCACAATGTCAAGCAGACATTAGTAATGAGAATAAAGAAAAATATCAACTTAAGGGGATTCTTAGTTGATACAATACTAAATTCTAGAAACTAACTTGATAAGAATTGTATGGCAGTTGTACAGAGAATTTCTATTAAGATCTTGGAAATGAGGGTTAAGGCAACTAACCAGTTGTATTTTGTGATGAATTAGGTTTTGTCAGAACTTGAACAGATAGAGCTAAAAGAGGAAAGGGAAAAATCAATAGGAGATAATAAGAATGAAGAAGATAATCAGTTTGCCTTGGATATTGTTAGACCAGGTAATAAATTTGTAAGATAATTTGGTTTTACCAACTGAGTTGAAAATGGGAATTGGCCTCTGTAAAGAGTTTCAAAGCTGATGTTTTGAGCATGAGCCCTTGGTCAGAACGAATTGAGGAATTCTGGGTTATGTCTGTTTATATGTAGAAAATGGAGCTACATACCTTCTATTGGTGGGAACTCAGTCACAAGAAAACAGATTAGTTCAATGATAAAGCATTTGTTGATACTGGAGGAATTAGAGTGCCCATATGAAAGATAAATTTTTGTTCTAGAGTTTTGCAGCTTTCAGAACTGCCTGGACATAAGGACAGGCTGCAGACCAACATAAGCAACTTAGAATGATCAGGGAGATTTAAGTGTCAAGGGACTGGTTTCAGATGCATCCTTATCATTCCTTTTTGCGTTGCGGCGATGTTCTCAGAATCAGTCACCTACAAGACATCTTTCTGTTTCACCAATGTATATCTTTTGGCAATTACACGTAGTGCAAATTGTGCAATGGGTGACATTGGCAGAGGTGTATGTTACTAAAAATCATCAGTTAATTGTTACATTGTGAATGTAACTTCAGCGGTTTAAAATCATTTACTAGCCATCATCGAAGAAATTCAAGCCCTTGAGGAAAATGCTAAACTAAAGTTAAGGGATTTAGAAGAGAAGCAAGCCAAGAAAGATCGGCAGAGAGAGTTATGGTATGAAGAAAGAAGGCAACAAAATGAAGCGAGACATGAAAGAGAGCAAGAAGCTCGTCATGAGAGACAAGTGCAGTTTGAGGCTGCTCAAGAGAGGCTACATAAAGAACAAGAGGTATTCCGCATAAAAAAAAACATATTCTTTTACTTTAGGTTCGTTGGTGACTAAAAGTTCAAAGGTTCATGCAAACTAAAATAACATCCTGACTAGTGTAATGCAAATTACATGATGGATGTCACATTTTTTAACACAGAACAGTTTTAATTTATAACATAACCAAAGTAAAGCGCGCGCTCTGATTGGTCAATTTAGCATTCCCCATTTGCCCATGGGTGTACGCTGCTGATGTGAGCAAATGCAAAGACTATTTTTCCATGCGCGCTTGTTTTTTTTGGTCGCATAAGCTTTGTTAAATAAAAGGGAACTCTTTAGCTACAATGTGTCAATGTTATGTTATAAAACAAATGGTAAACACCACAGCATACACTATTGAGTTATGGATGCACTTGGGAGGTTTGCTAAGCACTCAAGAAGCTAAAGTAGCTCAAGGCTATCTCCTCGAGCGACTCTTACGCTTCTTTTGTGCTTAGCAACCTCCCGCGTGCATCCATAACTCAAAAGTGTACACTGTGGTGTTTACCATTTGTTAATTGTTAATGACGTTTTACTTAATGATTTGTGTAAAGCAGCTGCAAAGGTCTGTGTACATTGCACTCATATTGCCTTTGCTATACTTGACTAAGGTTCTCCAAACTAAATTGGAGGCAGAAGCCAGGGAGGAAGAGAAGAAACTTCAAGAAATGGAGGAGCAATTCCAGGTAACACTAAATCAACTCGATTGTGTCGTTCAATAAGAATTTTTCTTAGCTCAGTTATATTGTACATATAAACTACACACAACCCACAATTTGCTTTGACAAAGGGCTAACACTTGAAAAGTCAGCTTTAGAGTCTCCTTGCAGTGGCTAGTTCACATCATCAACTCAGTTAAAAAGTTAGAGCAAATCATCTTGCAAAACCCTTCATACATAGGTTAATTGGCATACATACATACATAGGTTAATTGACCACTCTCCTTAGGGGCTTTTCAGGGCCAATACCCACCCATCCCACCTAGGGGAGGACATCCACCACACAGTAATCTCGTGCGTGGGAAATTAACGTCTCCTACCCCTAACCCTGCAGGAGACGGGGCCTACGGTTTATTCATCCTTATCCGAGAAGACTGGAATATCTATCCATTTCTTGATTACAGAAAGGTAGCAAATTCTCCTCACTTATTATAAGACCGTGATCATTACACAGCATCACAGTTTCTTTTGAAACTAATAACCCCTTTGAAATTTCTCTAGACTAGTACACAACTCAGAAAGCATAACTTGTAAACCTCTCTTGTCTCTAAGTTAAGTTACCACAAAGAAATATTACAGATGATTCATTTGATTACACTGTAGATGGAGATTAGGACAATAGAGGAAGAAACAAGGAAACAGAGTGAGGCTTTGGCAAAGACAAAGGTAGGCATGATTGTAATTTTCACCTTTGTTAAACGGTCATGGTCACCCTTTACTAAGTTCTGACAGCCTGTTTTTATTGTCTTCCACCTGTATTAAACGGTCACTGAAAACAGAACCACTCAAATAAGGCTAAAAATAATCTTCCAGGTAATGTTCTGTACATGCTTCTCTCCCAAAATCAAAGTAAGCAGTATTTTTGGTCAAGATTCTGTACATTAAGTGGTCGATTATGGTGTAGAACGGCGTTGTTTTCCGTTTTTTTATATAATTATATACCCCTAAACTGGGGAACCGGTATTAGACTTGAACCTGTATGAAGCAGTCACCCCACCATTCTCTGCTTTTGACCACTTAACCCTTTACAGCCTAACATCAGTATGCATATTCTCCATACTGTTCTCTATACATTTCCCAAGGTGCTGACAAGGAGAATTTGTTTAACAATCAAGAGCTTGATGGGTTGGTGATCATTTCGTTTATTCTCCTTACCTTAATGTGATTCAGGGGTGATATTGTAAGGAGAAATTAGATGCTGGTCACTCTTAGGGTTTAAATGGTAAAGACAGGTCTGACTGCAGACAAAATCAGATGTGGTGGCCAATTCACATTACCAACACAGTTGATAATTGAAAACAAATTTATCTTGCAAAACATGTCACTTTTTATAACGATGTTGATTGTCAGACGTGTAAATCAATGCCGTAGATTGGCGAAAGCTGTGAAAACTAAATTATTGTAGCTTACTTGGCCTCGCTTGATTTACATGTCTGACTTTATAACACTATGCTACACAAAGAAAACATCCAACGCTTGATAAATGTTGATTATCCTTCTTGCTCATATTAAAGTTTTGCCTCTCACATTATTTTTACAGAAAAAGGAAGAAGAATACCAACTTAAAAAGCAGGAGGCTGCTGCTACTAAAATACAGAAGTTTTACAAAGGCTTCAGGTATAACGTTATGACTATAGCTATTGGAAATGTAAATTGTTTTTTTAAAGACGTGTATTCAAAGTGTAGTGATTAGTAACAATTCTATAAATCAATTTGTTGATGTAGAATAAGGAAAGAGTTTCAGCCATTATTGGAAGCCAAGAAGTTGGAAAGGATAAAGAAGAGAAATGAAGAACTCGACAGGATTGAACGGGTTGAAAGAAAACTCAAAGAGGAAGCTGAGAAAAAGAAAATTGAAGATGAACAGCGAAGGAGGGATGAACAGCGAAGGAGGGAAGAAAAGGAGAAGAGCCAGAGGCAAGAAGAAGAAAGAAGGAAGCAAGAGGCAGAAGAGAGGGAAAGGAAATTGAAAAAAGAGCAAAGATTAAGAGAAGAGAAGCAAAGAAAGATAGAAGAGGAAAAAAGAAGAATCGAGGAAGAGGAAAGGAGGAGAGAAGAAGCCAGGAGAAAAAAAGAGGAAGAACAAAAACAGAGAGAAGCTGAGGAGAAACAGCAGAAAATTGAAGAGGAAAAGAAAAAGGAAGAAGAAGAGAAAAGTAAGAGAGAAGAAATACAGAGGAAAATTGAGGAAGAAAAACAAAGGATAGTTGATAGGAGAGAGGAGGAAAGAAAGAAAAAGGAGATAGAAGAAAAGAAGAGAAAAGAGGAAGAAAGGAAGAAAAAGGAGATTGAAGAAAATAGGAGAAAAGAAGAGGAAATAGAGAAAAAGGAAATGGAAGAAAATAAGAGAAAAGAAGAAGAAAAAAAGAGAAAGGAGATGGAAGAAAATAGGAGAAAAGAAGGAGAAAGAGAGAGAAAGGAAATGGAAGAAAAAGAGATAAAAGAGGAGGAAAGAAAGAGAAGGGAAGAAGAAGAAGCAAAACCCTCTGCAGGATTGGCATTAACGAAAGAACTTGAGGCGAGGAGACTGCACTGGGTGAAAGAACATACTCCTTGGAGGTAAATTAAACATAATGTCAAATTTTTTAGCATTGATGATGTTTCAGCAGTTTACAGAGTAAGTTCAGTACAATTAATTTCGCAAACCAGCTTCAGCTGTACAACATCGAACTGACTGATTACATTTTGTATAGTGCGCTAATTAGTCTGCAAAGTTATTAACAAAATATTGTCTTGGTTTTCACAGCACAGTATCCACATCAGAGGAGAGAACTCATCCTGTAGCAATGAAGTCAAGACCAAGGTAATTTTGAGGCATGTTTGAGGAATGTTACTTTGGAAAAAATAGGAATTGAAATGGGAAAATTAAACCAGATGGTATGAAGATCCCTTTACTCTCTAACATAAGTATGCATGTTTTTCCTTCTGTATTACTGTTTTACCATACGTATCCTGTGGTACTGACGAATGAAGAGAGTTTGTTTAAAAATCAAGAGCTTCGTGATTTGGCGATAATTCCTTTATTTTCATGACGCCAATGTTTGACGTAGCAATGAAAGGGTAATAGGATATAAATAGGGGAAAAAACATTTTCACAGATAACAAATGACTTCTTAAAACAAGTTCAAATTTCAATGAATATACATGTAAGTTGAATAGGTTATTAAATAGCGGTTTCCTATTTTTCTCAAAAAACTAATCTTCACTTCTCCCTAATTATCCCTTTACAGAAGAGTATTTTCTGCCGGCAAACATCTTCCTGCATTAACTGAAGAACAGCTTTTGATGTCATCTCCTCCCTGTACTCCTCTCTCTAGAGTAAGTAGTGCGCTACTGTTCTCCAGCCTGTTAAACAGGTTAAACAGGCATTGCTTTCAAAATCGTGAGGATGTTTTAGGAGAAAAATATTAGAACACGATGGAGAGTGCTTATTTTTTTCAGGTGAATTGCATAGCGCTGAACAGCCTTCCAAGCTGTAGTATGCAAGGGCTTAGTCAGTGTCCAGAAGTGAGGTCTTTGTCACTTCAAAACTGCGGATTGTTGGCAGTTGAAGGTTTAGACAAGTGTAAGGAACTACGAGAACTTCATTTACAGGTGAATAACTCAGTCTCAGTCCTCAGCAATTTTCATATTCCCAGGGCAGCCAAGCGATGCCAAAACAGATAAAGGGCTTTTGTAAAAATACAAAGTAGTGTACGATATAAAACATAGTTTGAATTGACGATAAAAGAGGAAAGGCGCGATATAATGTATAGAGAAAGAGAAAACAATATTGTGTCTAAAACTCTTTTAAAACGCTCTGTCCTAAGAAGCAGCAGAACTCTGCTCGCCTCTAAGCCAGAACAACGTTCGCACATGCGCAAATCTTTGATCTCCGTATTTGGTTGTCATGGTTACATTTAAACACGCTCTGTGCACAATAAATCCTTGGAACAGAATTGTTGGTGATTGGGTTGGGGTTACAAACTCAGACTAAACTGTTTTGCACGAGTGCGACATTTCTCTCGTGAAAACCTTCTTCTTTGTAGCTTTATCTCCCCCTCCTTTTCAATCAAAATTTCCTCATCCACTTTGTGGTCTACACAATGTACAGAAACTCTTAATTGCAAGATTGACGAGGGTGGGAGGGGTGGGGGAAAAAAAAAGGCTTATGTAAGAGGTTTAGCTGCTCTTAGGGTTTTAATTCTAAAAACTGAATTTTATCTTAATACATCAGTTTTTTCTGAGATTGTAAATAGATTGATTTTCTCTCATACACCAACGAACTAACCCATAGACTCTTAAAAATCAGTACCCTGGTTACACAGGCAGTGATGCGTCATCTTTTTTCCTCCACTTTCATTTCAGAGTAACAACATTGAAGCAGTCAACCTAAAAGATCTTTCTAAGCTGGAAGACGTATCTCTTGCCAACAACAACCTATCCTCTGTACATGGATTACAAGGGATTACTGCCGTTATGTCTTTGGACTTGAGAAATAACAAGATCACTAGAATTGGTAAAAATGAAGAAATAAAATCATTTATTTTATGATTAGTACCGTTCAAAGGTAGCAGCGGCATATCGCGTGACGCGTCACGTTCCGCGTAAGACAAATCTCATTATTCGCGACATGCATCTCGCTCCTCACGACTTGAGTCTCCAGGACTGGAAAGTCCTAGAAAAAGGCTACAGGTCCTGGAAAGTCCCGGAAATCTTCTCAACTCAAGCAGTAAAGTTTTCCGAATTTACGTTATAAGAAATGTATGTAGACCGTAAGGAGAATTGATTTTGAAATCTTGGGAATAAAAGGGTTTAAGGTGAAATTTTGGAGTCCTCAGTGGAAAAATCAATCTGATTCTTGAACGAGTCCTGGAAAAGTCCTTGAAATTTGTTTCTGAAAGAGGGTATGAACCTTGCATTTCGTATTGGAGGCCGTCGCAATTACGTGAAGTATCCCAAGGTAAACGTTAGTCTGTTTACAGACGTTGTAACGATTGTAACTAATCGATATCCTTGAGAAAAGGACTCCCTGCTTATTTTAAAAGTTCTTCTGTTTGGTTTTGTTAGAATGTACCATTTAAGAGACAACTGTTTGCTTTCCACAAACATAGTGCTGTTTCTGTCTTGTGCAGGTGATCTAGCATTCTGCAGGTGGCTTCAGGAACTTCTCATGGATAATAATCAACTCATAAACACTAAGGTAACATGAAGCTGGAGATGTCGTGGGAGCCTTCTCTAACAAAAATAGCAAATTATTGATTGGTAGACCTTATGTTATACTTATAACAACCAAAGTAAAGCGCGCACTCTGATTAGTCAATTCAGTGTCCACCATTTGCCAACGGGTGTACGCTACTGACGTTAGCAAACGAAAGACTAGCTTTCGCGCGCTAGTTTTTCCTGGTCACGTAAGATTTGTTAAATAAAAGGGATCTCTTTTGCTCCAATTTATCAATATTGTGTTATAAAACAAAAGGTATACGGCACAGCATACACTATTGAGTTGTGGATGCAGTTGGGAAGTTTGCTAAGCACTCAAGAAGCTGAAGTCGCTATCGGCTATCGCCTCGCGCGACTCTTACGCTTCTTTCGTGCTTAGCAACCTCCCGCGTGCATCCCTAACTCAAAAGTGTACGTTGTGGTGTTTACCATTTGTTAAGTGGTACGCTAGAGTCAATAATAAACGTTTTCTTTAACAGGGTTTGTCTAACCTCGCGAGACTTCAGCATCTGAGTCTTGCCCACAATCACTTGGCTCGAGTCAATGAGATAGACAACTGTATACTGCTACAAACGTTGAATCTACGAGCAAATAATTTACTAGAAGTAAGTGGATTTCATCTTTGAAAATGGTTACATTGATAACTTATCCTTTCATGCGATAAGATGATTTGGTTTTATCAAATGTAAATCGGCCACGTTTCGAGCGTTAGCCCTTCTTTGTTCGCTCTGACGAAGGGCTAACGCTCGAAACGTCAGCTTTTAAACTCTTTACGGGGGCCAATTCACATCATCAACTCAGTTGATAAAACCAAATCATCTTGTTACACTCCCCCACCGACACAGCACCACAGTTTCTTTAGAAACATGCCCCCTTCTTTCATGCGATAGTTTGCCTGAAAATAATTCTTTTATTCTATTACAGCCTCCTCGCGTTGTAAATAGTGTTCTCTTGAGAGAACTTCGACTTGATGACAACAGCATCTCTTCCTTAGATGCTTTGTCGACTGTATGGCTGCCTTTGCTTCAGATTCTCAGCGTCAGTCAAAACAGGTAAGAAACAAGAAGACCACAGAGATATTTTACTCTAAATGGTGCAAGGGTCTGAATGCTTCATGTAATTCCTCATTAAGTTGTCCAACCCGCTCGCCCCCCTTAGTATGGAGCGCTTTTCGATTGAGTGTTGCAAAACCAGAACTAAAGAAATCATGACGGAGAGTAAGAACAAATTTCAAATCAGTGTCGGAAGTAATCCGTGTTTTTATTATATCCCTGGCAGCGCCTGCGGGCAATATGACTCGAGCCCGTCTTGCCCGCTCGGGAGTGCCCGCTTTGACCCCGCGTTAAAAAAAGAGAAGTGCGTGGAGCGCACTTACAAAGTTCGTAATTCTTGGACAGTGTCGGTAATGAAGTCGCAAAAAAACGGCAGAAGACAGGTAGAACAGAGAAAACATAAAATACTCTCGTTGATTTGTTGTGCTACAACCACAGTTGGCTCTCGAAATTAACAACTCATTCTTGATTCTTAATAAAGCGAAATATTGTCGTTCTCATAGACCTCAACTTCGTCTTGGTCCATAAAAAAGCAACACGTTTTCATTCAAGCAAATTAGATTCATTTTCGCAAGAATGGTTGAGAACCAGGCCTCGTTTTGAAAAAAGAAGCCAAGGGTAATTCGTAAATGGCCTATTCCACTTTGACCCGGAAACAGTGGGCAAGAAGAGCCACCTAGGGGATTGTCTTCTCCTAAATTCCCAGTGTTATTGCTATCATCATCATTATCATTATTATTATTATTATTATTATTATTATTATTATTTTTATTAATACTAAATTACGGATGACTCTCGACTTTCATTTGTAGCTTTCTCCGCTATGGTCACGTGGTGCATGTCTATTCATTAGGTTCCAGGTTCTCATCTGTACTCCTACTTACAATAGGACACGTTTCGGTGTACGCCTAAGAACACCGTACAACAAACCCAATAAGGTCACACTGCTGATCCAAATCGAGACTGAAGATAATTTTGAGTGATTGCTCATAGCGCCCGTAGAAGCTTATGGCTGTATTTTGATTTCAGTCATCCAGTTGTCTTCGTAGGTTATTGAGGTTTTCATCGATATTTCGTGTCTGTTTGTAGCATATCTCGGTTAGCGCCCCTTGATAATTTGATCATGATGGAGTTTTTGGATATCAGCAACAACCTAATATCAGGTATGAACATTGCAACACAAACTGTAAATTTTGCCCGCTCTTTTAGTGGCTTCTAACTATGAGAGGCGGCTGCATGTGCAAACTACGTTTGTTTCGAAGACTTGCTGTTTTTAACTGTTGTTGTTTCCTTGTAACACCCGTTCCAAAACTTGTTGACGTGGTTGATTGTACAGTAGAACTATTTTAACTGCACACGAGCTTCAGTAATGCATAATTTTCTATGATACGAACATGCACGAAGAAAATTGTAGCTAAGGTGGTCGTGTGAATGTCGTGTTCTACTTGAAAATCCTTGTTTCTTTCATTTTAGTCATCTGTCCTTTATGTTTTTATTCTAAAAGTGATATTTTCTCTTGGTCTTCTTTGCTTTGGCAGTGAATTTGCACCCAGCAGAAAACTACTCAAAATATTTCGACGCGTGTGTAGTTTCTTTCTGCAGACGCCTTTATTTAGTAGAAACTAGCGCAGGTCTGGTGGATATCGAATGCAGGCAGCTTTCACCATCTTGCCGTTTTCATCCTTATCTGAAGCGATTCTGCACTTACCTATTGATAATATTGATAATATTAATAATATTAATAATAATATTATTAATATTAATATTAATAATATTAATAATATTAATTGATAATATTGATAATATTATCTTACCGTTTTCATCCTTATCTGAAGCGATTCTGCACTTACCTATTGATAATATTGATAATATTAATAATATTAATAATAATATTATTAATATTAATATTAATAATATTAATAATATTAATTGATAATATTGATAATATTATCTTACCGTTTTCATCCTTATCTGAAGCGATTCTGCACTTACCTATTGATAATATTGATAATATTAATAATATTAATAATAATATTATTAATATTAATATTAATAATATTAATAATATTAATTGATAATATTGATAATATTATCTTACCGTTTTCATCCTTATCTGAAGCGATTCTGCACTTACCTATTGATAATATTGATAATATTAATAATATTAATAATAATATTATTAATATTAATATTAATAATATTAATAATATTAATTGATAATATTGATAATATTATCTTACCGTTTTCATCCNATGTCGTGTTCTACTTGAAAATCCTTGTTTCTTTCATTTTAGTCACCTGTCCTTTATGTTTTTATTCTAAAAGTGATATTTTCTCTTGGTCTTCTTTGCTTTGGCAGTGAATTTGCACCCAGCAGAAAACTACTCAAAATATTTCGACGCGTGTGTAGTTTCTTTCTGCAGACGCCTTTATTTAGTAGAAACTAGCGCAGGTCTGGTGGATATCGAATGCAGGCAGCTTTCACCATCTTGCCGTTTTCATCCTTATCTGAAGCGATTCTGCACTTACCTATTGATAATATTGATTACATAAATTTCTTACAGACACTGACAGTCTTCTCCACGGGCTTAAAGACTGCAACAGAATAACAACATTAAAGGTTGCAGGAAATCCTGTTTATGAAGATCCTAATTGCAGGTATTTTGTTCTGCATTCATATTCTGTTTGCGAACATAAATTATTGTATTCGAAATAGAATAAGAAAGGTGAACTTCGTAATGGGCCTTGCTCACCATAGAGTCTCTGTGAATCCATTGGTAGCGCATCGGAGCGCAGAATCCGAAGGTCTGAGGTTTGATTTCTCATGGAGACTCAGAATTTTTTCTTTGTCCCACGCTCGTGACAAGACGAAAAAACATCTTTCTCTATTAATTGCTGTAGCTTATACTGACTGAGAGATCAAATCATCTCCACAGAACCTTGATACCGGAATACCTGCCAAACCTAAGGAATTTGGATGACGAGATTCTGCACCAGGAAAGCGAAGTAAGAAAACTAAAAATAAACTGAACTGTTTCCATAACCTTGATTGACATTTTCATTGAATAACGATTCCTTACACATTCTTACTAGCTTGCCATCGGCGTTTTCTTTCATTACAGGTTTCAGCTGAGAGTCAGGCTGTGTTCCTTGAAATGTGTCAGAACCAACTCCAGTCTCAGGATAATTTAAAGGCCAAGCAAGAAAAAGAGCTAAGGTAGGTGGCTTTGAAACAAAACATCCAAGGTATGGTGAAGCCACGACGTAACAAACAGTTGAGTTTCATTGTGATTGATACCCGCTTGTGTGCATTTTGATTGCGCTGAGAGCCAGAGTGAAAAGAGTTGAAATCAGACGTTTTGACTAGAGTTTGTTTGTATTTAGGGAGTTTATGACTGTATACTAATATATATGCACTTTTATACAACAGCGACAATACGGACGCAAGAAATCCAGAAAGTGTTGTAAGAAGACTACGCTTAAAGGTAAACCGGCTAATTTGACTATCTACTACTTTGTAATGCGAAAATGAATTGTTTTGAGGAAAGGTGAAAGGTTTTTGTTCTTCGATGAGTAGGTCAAGAGATGTTATTTTATTTCATTATTTTAAATTACTTAGTTCTCCATTTGTTGTTGCTGTCGTTGTTGTTATCATTTATAGTAATGATGTTTTCTTTGCTTTGTTTAAATGCCAGAGTCAACACAACCAGGAAAGATTTGAATTGGCGGTAAAACACTTGCTTGAACACGAAAATTTCAGTCCAGAAAACGCGTGTTGTATAGCTAAGGAAGACAGAACTGTGGACAGTGATAGAAGCCGAGAAGAGAAAGCGCAGCTGCGTCAGCAACAGCTACACCATCCACAGCTGCATCAGCTGGGAGCAAGGAACAAAAAGGAAGGAAAAACTAAACAGTCATTAGATGTGGTGTAAGTTGCACAATAAAGTAAATATCTGAATGTGGTGTCACTGCGAAGTGTCATAATCCATTGCAGTAAATATTGAGAGGATGTGGCGCAGTGGGTAATTTGGCTTGGAATTCTGACTCCGCCTTAACATGATTTCTTATTGCGCGTTTTTAGACGTTGTGCCTAACTTGACGGGTGATAATTTTGATGAACCCCGCCGAATGTGACGGAACATGGATACTGAGCAGCCGCTGAGTTAAAGCGACAACTATTTTTGTTTAAACAGGGCACAGCAAGATGCGGCTGCAACCAAGATCCAGGCACTGTGGAGAGGATGGTACATCAGGCATTTGATTGATGTCAACACCACCAAAGTAAGTTCATTGTGCTACTGACATTAAAAAATATTATAACTGTTTGTTAAATCCAGCAGGTTAGCTGGGAAAAGGTGTTTTATAGCTTGCGTCTTTCGCTCAAGACGGCGTTCGGTACGATCGCAGATTAGAACCTGCTCGAGCGTTAACGAAGATGCCTAGGGAACAATAGATTGGATAAGTCCGAACAAAGTCTGAACCTTCTGTTAACAAATCTGTCTAGAGTGGATTAGATTGGATAACAAAGTGCAAACATATTTGAGTGATAACAAAGATGGCTATATTTTGTAACACTTTTGGAAGTTAGAACCAGTTTTTATCTTTATAAAAAGATTTCTCATCAAATGACAAAAAGAACTGGAAGACCAAAACACTTCCATCCTCCCCTTAACATGATCAACAATTTGTTTTTCTTTATTTACAGTGGCTCGCAGCTGTCACCATCCAGTCAGCGTGGCGGGGCCATTTGGCTCGTTCGCAACTCAAGAAACAACCTAGGGAACCATGGGATCCAAAAAGGAATTCTGCAGCCACCATAATTCAGGTGAAGACAGCGGCACGAGTGATTCTTTTTGCTGGTGTTAATAATAAGTTTGCGCAGTTTTCAGAGAGTGTCAAAAGTAATCCTAGATCCAACTGTGGTTAGTCTAGAAATTGCGCGGTCCCTTTCAACAAATCACATGCAAAACCAAAGGCAATCGCCTTTTCCCGCTTTTAAAGAAGTTTGCTTGTTTTTTACCATAAATTCTCAATGTCTTCTTTTTTTATTTTCCTTTTCCATGGCTGGCCGTTGCAATAATAACCTTTGTGTTCGGTTTTGCGGCACTCGTCTGAAATGCGCTCTAATAAGGATGGTTTTGGTTTTTAGATAAAAGGCTTTCTGCACCCTCCCCCCCCCCCCCAAAAAAAAAGGAAAAGAAATTTAACCAATTAGTCATGAGTATCTTCAGAGTCCCCACCATAATTACTCTTGTTTACTGAAATACCAAATGATTCGTCTTTCTCGACCAGGCGCATTTCCGTGGTCAGCGGGTTCGTCGTCGGCTGAATGAAGCTCTAAGGGCAGCTCAGTTTTACGATGATGATGAAGAGGAAGAATTTGATTATGATGAAGAAGTGGATCTGACGGCTTTCGAATTTGACGAAAACGTTTTAGAGCAAGGATGGACACCAAGTGAAACTCCACAACTTCCGTCCAGGTATGTATGTTTAACCCCTAAGAGTTAAACATACATACTTCGCTCCGACGAAGGGCTAACGCTCGAAACGTCAGCTTTTGTAATCGTTACGGTGGCCAATTTACCACTTCAACTTTGTTCATATATCCAAATTATAACCCCTAAGAGTGACTAGCATCTAATTTCTCCTTACAATATCACCCTCCGAATCTCTCATTAAGGTCATGAGAATTAGGGAAACGATCACAAACTAGAGATGCTCTTGATTGTTAAAATAAAATTCTCCTCGTCAGCACCTTAGGAAATGTGAACAGGAGAATATGCATTCTGGTGTCAGGGTGTGAAATGTTTGGCGGAGAAAACTTAAGTGGTTGCTTCTCATCTGTGACTTGGTTTACCGTTTTACTGTTAGTTTAGAATTTGTAGGTAGGGGACAACCTCGTTCCCAGGGTCTCTCATGAGAGACCCTGGGAACGAGGTTAGGAAAGGGATTGATTGACAAGGTGATAATCAATTGTTGGTTTTTGGATTGTTTTTCGAATCGGATACAAAGTGCTTTTATTGGGTCTTTCGATTTTCCATGTCTTTCTGGTAGTTTTCCTGGCTGTTGCCTCATGGAAAAACCACCCTCAGTATCTGTGAACCCCTTATATTTAACAATTATTCGCCGAAGGCGAGGTGAATATCGTCGAATAATCCTCGAGACGAAGTCGAGGGGATTATTCGACAATATTCACCGAACCTGAGGCGAATAATTTTTTTAGTATAATTTCGGAGCTGAACAACAGAGAAATTTCTAAAATCATAACATTTTAGTAACATTTATTAACTTTTTATTTTAACATTTTATATAAACCGCGTGGAGCGGTTTATATAGCATCATATAAGGAACCGCTCGACCAATCAGATTGCTGGAAACTCTGCTCAGCTCTGAAATTATACTAAGACACCATAACATCAATATGCATATTCTCCATACTATTCTCTATACATCTCTTTGGGCGCAGACAAGGAGAATTTGTTTTACAATCAAGAGCTTGTTTAGTTGATGATCATTTCCTTTATTCTCGTTACCTTGATGTGTGATTCAGGGGTGATAGTGTATGAAAAAAATAGATAATAGTCCCGAATAAAGGCTGATAGTTTCGAAAGAAACTGTTTGGGGCTGCGTCGGTGGGAGTAACGAAATAATTTGGATATATCAACAAAGTTGAAGTGGTAAATTGGCCACCGTAACGATTACAAAAGATGACGTTTCAGCTTTTGTAATCGATACGGTGGCCAATTTACCACTTCAACTTTGTTGATATATCCAGATAATAGTCAGTACTGGGCGTCAAAGGATTTACGGAAAGCCTCTTCAAAATCGAGATGTCTACTATCGTTGGAATGGGTATCGAATTTTAGTTAGTTAATTATTTTGTTATCGCCTTCGCTGTAAAACAAAACCATTTTCTTTGAGATTTTGACTTAGCACCTGGCATAATGTCTTCTCCAAAAGTCAATATATGACTTCTAAGACAAATGAAAATAGTAATCACGCGTTTGGCGAACAATTTTAACTCTCATAAAAAAGCAGAGTTTATTTTTACTAACTTGAACGGCTCTGATTTGTGTTCAAGGGGACCAGTGTTGAAATCACCAGGGAAACCAGTGAAGGTATGGGTAAGAGGCAACCATTACCTGTAATTGTCTTCAATCTGTAACTCTATAACAACTAGAATTAGGAGACCATGAAGTTTTTGTTCATTTTAAAAGAGTTATCTTGCAAGTTAAAAGCATCGGAACTTTTGAACAATTTGTTAATAGTTTTGTTTTGTGATCTACAACTGGAATTGTTGTAAAGCCCTATATTTCAAACACCATAGGGTACAACAAACATATGAAATACATATATATGAACTGCGGTTATGAAACGTATATGCGCACGATCCTTCGCAGTAAAGCACTATTTAAGCAATAGTGAAAATCAGACCTGAAAATAATTCAGGCCTGTACGGGATTCGAACCACTGACCTCTGCGATACTAGTGCAGCGCTCTACCAATTGAGCTAACAAGCCAACTGGGAGCAGGCCATCAAATTAATTCGACATAAACCCGTAGATGATAAATCAAACAACAAACATATGAAATACATATATATGAACTGCGGTTATGAATTGAAACGTATATGTGCACGATCCTTCGCAGTAAAGCACTATTTAAGCAATAATGAAAATCAGACCTGAAAAAAAAATTCAGGCGTGTACGGGATTCGAACCACTGACCTCTGCGATACTAGTACAGGCCTGAATTTTTTTCAGGTCTGATTTTCACTGTTGCTTAAATAGTGCTTTACTGCGAAGGATCGTGCACATATACATACCATAGGGTACATTATTTGGCTTAATAACGTAGATCAATTAAAGTTTGAGACTAAAGAAACGGTTTCTAATTTGTGATCGTTGAGATGGAATTGTGGGAAATTAAGAGATACGAGGAAATGAATATGTGGCTACGCTCACCTTGTCTCTTTCTCCTTTGATAATTATAATAAACGCGGTCTTTATTTTCACAACACTTCTTCACTCACATATAGACACATCTCGAAAAGAATTCCAGAGCTGCCTTCCAACTTGAATCCACGGCACCAAAACCTCGTCAGGCCTGGCGGTCAGCAGATTCACCCATTACCCATGTCAGTCAACAGCCTGTTGGCAAGGCAACCATAGATCACGACCAGATGTCAATGACTTCAGGCGTGCAGAGTCATTTGTCACATCGCGCAGACGAGCTGAGTAGTGAGTGGTAAGAATGTGATTGATGTTCAAAGAAAGGGTTTTTCTCTCTCATTCCGTTTTTTATCTATTTTTGAAAGCCTTTAAAGCTTCACTGAAAGTGAGTACTCAGTTTGAGCAATGAATTTTCCTTCCACGCGAGGGTCTTCCCGCGGGATTCGACTCGTATGAACATACATACATACATACCTACCTACCTACCTACCTACCTACCTACCTACCTACCTACCTACTTACCTACCTACCTACCTACCTACCTACGTACGTACGTACGTACGTACATACATACATACATACAAACAAACGTACGTACGTACGTACGTACATATCTTTATTTGAAAAGTCGGTTAAAAAAATTTGGCAACTTTACAGCTGATGTGGACCTACTATATTATCTACGTAAATAAGATAAATAAACCTAGAGTAAAGTGTGAAATGAGAAACAGAATGAATTTAAATATTGATGTATCATAATAGATCAGAAATAGTAGAAATTTGAATTCTTATTATAAACAATAGAGCCACCTCCCTTTCCAAAATTTATGTTTACAACGTCATTTCTTTCCTTTTTAAGCCTATTTTTAAAAGCAATTGGATTAGAAAGGTGTGTTAAATTATCTGGTAGGGAATTCCAGGCAATTGCTGCCCTGTGTGCAAAACAATTCTGTTTACGCATGTCTTCATATACTAAGATCCATTCATTGTCTCTGATTAGTATATAATTGGGTTTGAAATAAGCCCGTTAATCAGAGTCTTGCACAGAGGGGTTAAGCTTGGACTTTTGTAGGTTCCAGTCACGCTCCGCCTTATTACGGGGAAATCATTAGCGTTTGTAAACTTTAATTACGCCCATGTTATGAACACTAAGTATTATTACAACTATTACTTACAGGGGTTTCCGAAGTTCTGAGACAGCTGAACTGATGATGAGAAGAGCAAAAAAGATGAAATATAATTCCGCGAGAAGGAAAAAGCTGCTAGGTATGTTTTGAAGACCAATTTCTTCAGAGAAGAGAAAAGGTAGTTTAGAAGTAGTTTGTGCAGTTTTTCCTCAAAATACCTTTTATGAAGAACGTTTTTTCTTCGCGGACGCCATTTTTTTGCGTTTTTTCAGAAGAGCGGAGGAGGCGGGAAACGAGCACGAGGGGCACGCGAGGGCGAGACTCGTGTGAGTGAAGTGGCTCGAAAAGGATAACGCTTCACTTTTTTTCACCACCTCCCTTCTTGCACGTGACACACTCCTCGCGTTCGCCACGAGCCTGCCTACATACGTCCGAAAAACGCAAAAATGACGCCTCTCCCGTAAGCTAAGTGCTAAATAGATAAATTGTGGTGTGCACTGAACGTTGTAAAACATTGGCTACGATTTGGAGCAAAAAAGATGAGTATCTTTTAATACCAGGAAGGATTCAAACCTCACCCAAGTCCGATCTTGAGGTCGAATGCGCCACCAACTAAGCCTTTGGTTTATTTATTCATTATTGAATTTATCTTTTGTTATTATTTTTTTATTTTCATAAGATCCCAATAAACGTCTAGCCTTGTTTAAGAAGCTAGAGGAAATCAATAAATTACAGGAGGTGAAACCACCGCCTACAAGGAGACAACCACCAAACAGAGTGGAATATTTTGCAGGTGAGGATTGACGCTTTCAAAAAAAACTTAATCTGATAATTTTGGAGACGAAATGTTCGGATTTTGCATCTAACTGCAACATGCACGTGTGGAAATAGATTTGTTTGATTAAAGACAAGAGGTAGCTGTTTCTTTTCTTTCAGTGGTTTTTTTTTCTTTGTTCGTTTTGTTTATGGTCTGCGGTGAGGTAAAAACAGCGGTCAAACATCGGACATGCATAAGGAGATAAATTTTAGCCTGTGGGCCAATTTCCCGCGCAAAATTTCCAAGGAAAGCACGAGAAGCAACCGCTGTCACGCAAAATGTGCGAAAGAAAAATGAAAAGTTCACAGAAGTCTGCATAAGGAAACAAAAGTAGGGGGAAGGAAGACTCGAGACTTTTCGAACTCGAAGCTTAGTTAATTACAAGTATCCTGTAGAGTTACTATTTTGTGTTTTGAGGTTTTTTCACAGAAAAAATCTACGCTTTAAAATAGTACGACTCATTGACTGTTTGGCTATTTAAACCTCTTGTTAGATCTCTTGGTCTGAAAATGTGCCATTTAAGCATTACAAAGTTCGCACCTGCGCTGACGTTTGACCACTGACTTGGTGACTTGGTGACTTTTTAACACCGCAGACCAAGGAACGGCAAGCAGTTTTGATCATCACACGGTCAAAGGCAAACATGAGAATCAGAATAATAAAAAAATTGTAACAGATGCTCGAGGGTAGATGTTTAACGAGGGCCAGGTGTTAGAAAATCTGATGTGGAAATTAAGTTTTGTATGTCCAATTTTCACAGAGTTCAACAAAGGAAGAATTGAAAAAGGGTTGCGATAACCATCTAATGCCATTTTAAACGTGTTATTTTTGCGTTAATTAATATTCTGTTCTCTTCAGCCCGTGAAGCTATGGCAAGTCATCTGAATTCCACCTCCCCGGCCACGGAGAAGCAAAATAGAGAAAAAATGACCTACAGGTGATCATTTATTTTAGTTATCTTCAACCTTTGCTGTAGATAAATTTGCTTTGTTTTGTTTTCATCAGATAATAACATTTGAAATTCTCATAAATCAACGCAACGATCATGGGGTAAGCTACACAACCGGCCTTTTTTTTTCTTTTGCGTTTTTCAGTCGAACAGAGCCAAGCGCAAGGCGAGCGCTAAGTGTGAGTCACGCTCGAGGTGAGGAGTGCGAAAAAAAGAACTTACTTTTTTTTTGGCGCTCCCATCTTCGCGCGTGACAGAGCATTTAGGAACAATGGAGGAAGAATTTAGGAAGTGCTCCTCATGGTTGGGGCGACTACCTTATGCATGACAATGAAACTTCTCTTTTTAACATTCCTCGCCTCTTTTTTCGCCTTCTCCGGTTTACTTCGTTTACTCCGTGAATTCATCTTGTCCTGTCGTGTCATTTGAAAAGATTCCAACACTCAATTCCTGTTGTATGACTTGCCTCAACGTGTGTACGGTTTCTAGTTGGGTCTACAGGCAGGCCGTTGTTCACGAAGACGAAGAGAAAAACATCATGGCCGACCGAAAGGAATACTCTCCTGACAACAGAGCCAAGAAAACCTCGCCACAGAAGTAAGAAACAATGTTTCAGAAACCTATAAAAGCACAGTCTTTGCATAGCCCCATAACTCTTTCAAAAGGGGCACGCAGTTGTGTACGCGTTTGGCTCAGGAACTTTGCTCGTAACAAACGTAACCAGTAACCCTTAAATTACAAACCTGTTCCCTAATAAAGCGTTTTACTGCTTCTTTAAAAAAAAAAAAAAAAAAAAAACGGGACTGATTTGGTTGAAAATGTGCTGTGACTTGAGTCAGAAGTCTAAATTTCTGACTCTTTTGCTCTTTATTTTTGCCCCTGTTTGCTTTACCTTTTACGAATTGTAGAGGTTTTCGCATTTCGATCGGCTATCGTGAACCACAAACCAAAGTAATTACATAGACCAATCAGAATTAAGGGAAAATGACCCGTGAAGCCAACGAGAACTCAAAGTAAAAAGAACTGGCGGCTGAAGCGCGGGAAAATGAGGTGAACCAAGACTAAGACTGGGTTTGGTTGTGAATCTGATTGGTTAATGAAGTGGTACAAGTTTTCTGCACCAGTCGTAGAGGGAAAAAAGCGAAACCAACGTAATCACATTTAACAATTATTCCACGAGCGCGCGTTGGATATGAGATGATAGATAGCCAACGAGGCGCGTAGCGCCGAGTTGGCTATAATCATCTCATATCCAACAAGCGCGAGTGGAATAATTGTTTTATTAAAGACGTTAACTTAAATTATTAAATTTTATTAAATTTAGCTCCCTTTTAATTTTAAGCTGATACGTACGCTTACCATATTTGTAGATTATGGTATATTGGCTGATATACCATAATGGCTAAGCCAATAAAAAGTCTTGAATTGCATTATCCAATGATCTAGTTTTTAATAATAAAAATTATTCTATTGCTTGATGTAAAACTAACTCTTGGAAGTCGACCAGCGGTAACGTTCACCCCATTAGATTAGTGAATTGAAGAGAAAAACATTTCTTCCGCGACAGCCGACTCAGTCATTTTTTTATAGTGTAACCAGCGTAACCTCTCAGAATTGAAATTATTTTTGTTTTCTTCTTCATTAGAAACAATCGCTCTCCCGTCAATCTCCCCAACATGGACCCCGTGGTTCTCTCTGGACGCACCCTCCCTCTGATAGTAAGTTTTGCTTCTCTCAATTTCGCATTGTTTGAGTCTGGTCAATAAAGGAAGTTAATGCAGAGGAAGGATCAATTCTTTTTAATAGTGAAACTCTATGACTTTTCCACCTTCATCGCCTTAGATCGATTTTATGCCAGGCTAAGTTCTTTTTCCCTTTTTTCGCAGTCGAGTCCACACTTTTCGCAATCCCTGGAACAATCGTCATCTGAGGGGCTCTCTCCAAGGAGGAATTCGTTTTCGTCAGGTGAACATTCAGTTATTGAGTATGATAAGCGAGAATCTGTCTCTTTGGATAATGGGAACTAGGGAACACGAGTATTTGGAATTGTTGTTTTTTGCGATGTAGGGATTGAAAAATGCTAAAGAAGTAAGAGGGACGCAAAATGTGCAGAGGGTGGTTTAGGATAAAAACGGTTAACATTGATTGAATTTAAGGGAAGGGTTGGAGTAAAAGTGTTAAATTTGGGGTTCATTCCTGATCTACAAATGGACTTTAACTGACAAATACTACGTGTTAGAAAAATTGTATGAGGAAGGAGAAAGTAGAGATGCGAAAATCGCTGAAATCTTTGCCTTAATTCCGTGAAAGGTCGTTTTACAAAAGGCTTTTTGTGCGGTATTTGCTGGATCTAAAGTTGTTAGACTGACCATAATATCTCGTTTTTCTCATCGAGAAAATGTTTATTAAGCATTCAGTTTTCAGTTTTCAAGCGAGTTGTCCAATCGTTTCAATCCTTAATACGGTCAAACGGATGCCTGTGAACAGTCTGATAGAATTGGCAATTTAAAGTGGCTTTTCGCCAAAACCAAATACTGAAATTAGTTCAGTGGTGTTATAGGAAGGTGCTCCAGTTTTCTTATTAAACTCGCTTCCCTAAAGCCCTCGTTGTAAGGTCTGTTCATTCCTTATTTAGAGGGTCACGTGTGTTTTCCCGCCATCAAAACTCATTCCGTGCCCAACCTCCTAGCCAGGTCCTCGGTCATTGGAGAACAACCATCGAAAACAGAGAAAAGCAACAGTGCTGGGGCGAGAATTAACAGAGGGTCCAAAAACAAGAGGTGATGGTAGTAATCGTGCAGAGTGATCCTGTGGTTTACAACTACACTGCGACTGAACCTGTTGTGGACAGTGTTCAGCTACTTTGTTGAAGATCTATGAACTATTTCCGGGGGGGGTGGCACTGGGGCGTCTAAGCATCACAACCATCCGACATGTCTAAATTGTTATTACTTTTAATTAAATCAAAAATTTAAGAACCTAGAAAAATATCGTTTATTTATTAACGAGCAAGAGTCAGACTGTTATAAATCTATCTCTTGCACTGTAATCGGAATTTAAGGGAGTTATAGAATATGACACTGATTCTGCTGTACATTTAATTTATTTAATAAGCCATGTCGCCCCCAATCGCGTTGCTCTCAAGCTGAGTCATCTCGTCCTCGAGTGCAGACACGTCTCTTCCATTACGGTCACAATCAAGCAGAAACACTGAGATATCTCTATTTATTACTACTGGATCTTGGGAAGTCATATCATAAGCAAAAGCGAGAGTAACCAGTCATTCTGATAACGTGAAAAAAGCGTGCTTTATTTAAACTTTTCGCTAACACAACCAGCGAGTAAGTAACGTCCAGTACACATTATTTTAAAGTGCAGACTGAAACACTTCAGATCAGTAGCTTGATATTTAGCTCCTCTTTCTCTAAGAAATTAAGGCTTTAGAGTTCTCATGATCGTGATCCATGAGTGTGGGATTCTCGAAATCGAAGTTATTATTCGCAGCGTTGTACGACTCAAACTCTACGAGTCCTACGCGATCCCCTCCCCGTATCACCGACTCTCCTTTGGCGACCCCAGAATGGTTTTGGATCTTCCTGCACAAATCTGTTGGCAAACGACAGAATTTTTCAGTTTGAACAAAACATTCATAGCACCAGTTATAAGATAACAAATAAGTTGGCCGCAGTTCTCATTTGACCCTTTACACCCTAACATCAGTATGTATATTCTCCATACTGTTCAACATACATTTCCTGAAGTGCTGACAAGGAGAATTTGTTTGAGAGTCGAGTTTCTTAAATTAGTGATCATTTCTTTTACTCTCGTGATCTTCATGTCCAATTCAGGGGTAATATTGTAAGGAAAAATTAAATGCTAGTCACTCCTTAAGGGGATGAATTTGAAAACGCAACCTACAATAGCCTGCCTAGTAGGGGGTGGGGGAGCACCCCAACTACCGCGATTTGATAAATTGATCTAAGCTTAATAACGTGACAACTGTTACCAATATACCGACTGTAAAATTGTTTATTTGTCTCGTAAATCAATATACCGTTCCAACCGTTGGAGTGATATTGAACTCAGATCTTCTGATTTGATTTATTGGATGAAACGAGGCCGCAGTTTGCAAACATTTACAGAGCAAATATTAACCTTCTCCTCCAACCTACTTTGTCCTTTTTATTTTGCAATTTTTCCTCCCCCTTTCCATTATCTTGAATTTTTCGTGGGCCATGAAAGGAAATAGTATCAGTCGGGATATTATAGCTTTACAAACACAACATGATTATTTGTTCGCATTGCTAACTAATGCAAACTCACAACGGGTTCGCGAGATAGAAGCAATTTTAGATGAATGACCGAAAAACTAAAAAATAGTAAATTAAGGGTAAATCGTTTACTTAGCTTAAGGATTGAGAAGCTGTTACCTTCCCGGAAAATTGTCCTCTTCCTCTTCTTCCTCTTCTTCTTCTTCTTCTTCTTCGTCGAAGTCAAAGTTATAGTCATCGTTCAGATAATCAAGATTCCATCCTTTACCAGTGAAGGCATTAGCTGATACTTCTTTCTCGGCCACAAAATCTTTCGCTTTCTCTGGGTCGAATGTTTTTGAAACGACGGCCTGCAGAAATAGAGCAATGGAGCATGCTCCCAGTGCGAAGAGAACAACTTTGTTCATTTTGGCGCTCTTTTCTTAGTCAGCCCTTAATGAGGGAGAGGTTAACTTTGAAGGGTGGTTAGGTTACTCTCGTTTGATAGTTTTTCGTTGGGAATGGATCTTTTATACAAGCGTTACCATTGAAAAAAACATGCCTCACACTTGAAAATATTAGTGCTGCATCTATAGTTTATACGCTTCTAAAGCCAATCAAAGAACTCGGTTGATATTGACTCAAAAGTCGTCGCCGAAAAAAGAGAAGCCGTTAAAAAAAAATAGTTTATATCGAGTTTTAAATGTTAGAGTCACTTGCCAAAGCCATTGTTATTTCTTTCCTAACTTTTCTATTTTACGTATGATGCGCGATCCTCTGGAAGAGTTACGAAGTTGAAAGATCACATCACTGTCACAAACCATAGCATTGCTTTATTCATTTTCTTGTTTATCAGCGTTTTCCTGAGTTGATATGGACACACGCGAGCTCTCGTTGAAACAGATACTGGTCGTCTGAAATTTTATCGTTTACCCGAGGTATTGATATCGACTAAGATACTTGATTTTTTTTGTGTAAGAACTCTGGACACGTAAATGCAGTTCTAGATTTAGCGTACTGATTCTGAAGGTAGCATTCACTAGCAATTACCATGTATATCTTTGCATCTCCATGTATGTAAGACACGACGCTCTTTTGGACAATATTATAACTTACGCGGAGCCGGCGACCGTTAGAAAAAGTAAAGAAAAGCCGCGAAGATTCTTTATGTCTGTTAGAATGCGACAGATGTACTTCAAACGTGGTAAGCGTTGACCTTTTATGGGTGGCCGTCACCGCCAAAAATACAAGCATAACAAATGGTTCGTAAAAAACAGAAATAATTCAGTCGTTTTTTGGGTAACGGCTAATCTTATTTTAAGAGATTTATTCGAAATACAAATCGACATGTCGCCTTTTGTGAAATGCAGTTCTAGATTTAGCATACTGATTCTGAAGGTAACATTAACTAGCACTGAATTACCATGCAATCAATCCATCTATGTAAGACACGACGCTCATTTAGACAATATTATAACTTGCGCGGAGCAGGCGACCGTTAGAAAAATTAAAGAAAAGCCGCGGAGATTCCTTACATGTCTGTCAGAGTGCGACAGATGTACTTCAAAGGTGGCATGAGTTGACCTTTTATGAGCGGCCGTCACCGCCAAAAATACAAGCATAATAAATGGTTTGTAAAAAACAAATTATCCAACTGTCTTTTGGATAACGCTTAATCTATTTTATTCAAAATACAAATCGACAAATCGCCTTTTGTGAAATGAGATATTCAAACAAAAAATGGTTCATACAATTCAGAAACTGTGTAGCTGTTGTAGTTCAATTTTATCCTTTGTTCAAAATTTATTTCCTTTGTTTCAAACTCATTATCATACATTAACATGACCGAGAACAAAGGAAAATAAAATTTGAACCAAGTATAAAATTGAACTACATAGCCACCCTTGTTAAGCTGATGTTGATCATAAGGACAATCCGCTATCTTTGATCACTTCGCGGCTCCAATTTTGTTCAGGGGTCAACTTTGACACTCATTTGGCATGTTGTGTTTCTAGTTTACAAAGTTTAAAATGTGAAGGTGTAGTCTGATCGTCCGGGTGAGTGTAGTCCTGAGAGGGACTGTTGTCGGTGGTAGTGACTGACGTTTCGACAACCTGTGCGGAAGTCATCATCAGAGTCAAGTGAATGATTGTTGTCAGTAGAATGTTCTTATTCCAGTTCGTGTAAAATGATCGGTTGGTTTTGCCGTGATGTTATTGGCTGTAAGACTCAAGTGACGTAAGTCGGTCATCAGTCACTACCGCAATAGCGATCGACAACGAAATGCACGTCGACGAGGTTCGCAACCCAAGGAGGATTGGGTCGAGGGTTTCGTTCTCGGCGGGAAAACGAAAGTTAAGCAGTGTGTTGTTTTGAGGCGACGACGAGTTTTGGTTCTCTGACTAGTTGCTCTTGTTATGGCTTTCAAAAACGTCCGAAATCTGCTTCTAATTAATCACGACGATGATTTCATCGATGATGATGAATTTGTTGTTCTGTATACGACCTCTATGCATCGAAAAACCTCGAATTTCCGTACGATTCGTACGCACCTTTTGACGTGGAAGAGCTTGATGAGTCTGAGAGTTTTGCAGAGTTTCGCTTTGGAAATCGAACGAATTCTGAAGGAAGTTTTGCAAATCGCTGACACGCTTACCTGTAGTCAGCGCTGTGTTTGTGATGGACTAGAAGGTCTCTGCGTGCTGCTAAAGCGGCTTTCACACCCAGACAGATATGGGGACGTGATCCATAGGTTAGCTAAACCTGTTCCAGTTCTTAGCATGATCACCAATCAAATGATTGACTATGCGTGTATTAAACTGGAATCATGAGGTCCTTTGCCCTGTCAACCTGTGATGCTTTCCCATACTTTCCCTGTCTCACTTCTTTTCGGTTTTAAATTGAAAGGTTCACTCGTTACAGCTTCGCGAAGCATCAAGACATCATGGTCTTCCGTCCAAACAGCATGTAAAAGTTTAGTTGTTTACTTACGTTTTCACCAGAACGTAAAACCTGCTCAGATTCAGTCGTCGACGAAGGCTGGACGACGTTTGGACAACATCGCACATGCGCAAGACGCTCGCGCGGATAAATTTTACTTCCGCCCGTCGTCGTCGTGCCATTTCGATGTCGATGCTTAAGGTCTCTAATATCGCTGAGTCTGACCCTCACAATCTTGAAAAGCGTGCTGACATTCTTGGTACACAATTTTTCTCATCCATTGCTTTGCCAACTGCTCATTTTAACATTTTCGGACGTTAAGGAGCTTTCGGTGGAAGGATGGTCTCCTCCCTACTTGAATCACTAAGAAAAGTAGGAGCATGTGCGCACGAAGGAGGACTTTTTACGTGTTTTGGTGTTAACATTAGCGGATTGTCGGTTATTATTTGTAACCTTTAAGAGCGGCTATTAATTTTGTCTGACAGTTACTACGAAATTGGTTGTTGACCCCATTCCCTTCCTCGCTCCACCTTTCATTAATAATCTGCTCATTTGTAATGGAGAAATTTCTAAGGTACATCTCGACGAAAAGCCAACAGTAGACAGCAAGAGATTACCTGTAAATGTAGAAGAAAACCTTGGATAAAATATGTAAGTGATTTCTATATAAGTGTCAGTTTTTTAACCATTTTCTTTTTCCTTGTGCAGAGAGGAGACCTATATATAACCGGTTTTTTGTTTTTCGGTGAACCAGCATTCAACTCAAGCTTAACAAATAAAAAGTCAAATATTTTGGCCGTAAATCTGTGTTACATTTTAACACAGATTGACCGACGAACAAAATTGCAGGCGTGATGTAATCAAAGATGGCGGATTTTTCTTTGATTAACATCAGCTTTCAGGGCATCAAATTATCTTTTTGCTACCAGCACATTTCATGTGAGTCGATAAGTATCACGCAAAAGAAGACCAATAATTTTGATCGATCTTCCCAAGAGCTCTCACTGCGTTTAATATTTCAAGAAGGCAACGAAGCAAATCGAATCTGGTATATTGTTGACATAATGGCTACTTATCTAACAAATGATATCGAGCCAAAAGTTGCAGCTGAGGCACATTTCTTGTAAATTTCAAGCTATTTTTTGTCAATAAAACAAAGATGTGGTTTACGGATTTTTGATGATACAGGCTAAAAAGCAGGAGTTAGATGTAAATTTTACGTCAGCAC